TTTCTTGAAGTCGAATAAGGTTTGCTTCATTGCACTTCTAATTTATTTGGAAGATGTTATTATTGCTAGTAATAACATGCCTCACATATAAAAAAATCAACAGTTTTCTATACAAGATGTTTAAGATAAAGATATTGGCACATTAAAAAGTTTTTTAGGGTTAAAGGTAGCTCATCCTCAATAAGGAACTAACATTTGTCAATGAAAATATATGAGAAATTGGTTTTTTATGGTGTAAACCTGTTATTACACCCATGTTGTCCTTTATCAAGCTAACTTAACAAGATAATATAAATCTTATAGATTCAACAACTTATAGAAAGTTAATTAGTAAGCTCATATATCTTATAAATACTAGAACAGATATTTGATGCGCAGTACAACAACTTTCTCAATTTCTAGATTCGCTAACATAACAACATCTCCGAACTACTCATTATGTCCTAAGATATCGAAAAGGCACAATTGGATAAGAATTATTATATTATCTATAAACTCTTTGACTTTAAAAGCATTTAGTAATTCTGAGTAGGCAACTTGTTCCGATTCTTGCAAATTAATAACTAAATTTTGCACTTTTTTAAGTGATGTTCTTATATCATTGAAGTAAAAAAAAAACAACAAATAATCTCTCATTCATCATCAAAGTAGAATATATGGATCTTGTAGCAATCACATGTGAAATACAATAGCTCCACTATTTGTTCAATGACATACAGTTCTTTTGTAACGACCGACTTTCTCTATTGAGAAAGGAACGTTATTCCTCACACATAACCTGGTAAATTTACGCAGCATTAAGTGAAAACTTAAGATTCAGTCATTACTTATACAGAATTATAAGTCACGAGGCTTATAAAATTTCTTGCATTACATTGCTATAATATAATTAAACTGACTTTACAAGACAAACTCTTACTGTCACTAAAGGTTCTTCAAAGTCTTCCTTCAACCTTGAACTTGCTTTTAATATGAACTAATCTATATTGGGGAGTGTGAGTTGGGATGAGCTTCATGGACTCCGTAAGAAAAATGGGCAGTGCCCACAACAAAGACATGCACACACTCAATCACCAAATCTTTTAAATCAGTTTATTCAATAAACATTCAGAATTTTTTATTTCAATATTATAACTTAGGGCATAACAATTCCATAAATAGTACAATTTAATATTCAATATAACAATTAAAGCAGTAAGCAGTTCAGTAAATATTAGTTTAGTATTTCAGTATCGTAAACTTTATTTTCTTTTCCTTTCTATTAGTTTATATTTTATTAATAATAGTTTTATCACGTAATATCGTTTTTGCCGGTATCAACGAGAGTAGTAAGGATCCTTTGTACCACGTGATACGTTACAGTTCAGTCCACAGTTTATAATTTGTAATACACAGTATTCAGTTCACAGTTCTTATCACTTCGCTACATTTGGGTAAAGCCGTATCCATAGTTAGGGTTCACCACATTCACATGCCAAAAGACCACACACACACCCACCCCTCGATGACACCGGTTAAACGAATTTTCTCATCTATTAAAGATTCTTATGTTATTTTTTTACTAATCAAGTTCGCCACTAAATGACCTACTTAGACATGCACCTACTTATATATCATACATATATTATACATCAATAAACCTACACAATAAACATAATACATACCTTTTATATGCATAGTTATCGACTTAATTAAGTATATATAAACACGCAACACATACAATATGAATGTATTCTATAAACAGACATATACAAGTTGTTCACTCATACATACACACGTTGTACAACCTATAATTATACATATATATACGTCATACACACACCTATAATTCGATAACTAGCATGCATAAAATTTGCATATACATACAAGTAATAATATGAATATATAATTATATGTCATACACAATATCATGTAGATTTTTAATCATATGCAATTGCACACACGCGAATATGATGAGTTCGAAGAACTCGTAGCGAAAAACGTAAACAGTTTGTAAATTCTCTGAACAACTCATTTCAATAGAAAACAAGATTTTATAAAAATATGAGAGCCTCTGAATGAGACTAACTCAATCCCTTACCTACAATTAAGTCGAAAAAAATATCAAAATCCTTATTGGCTTGGGTCTACACTCTCCTCTAAATCTTCACTGTCACTTGGTTAATTTTCTCGTTCACAAATACATAACACGCATATTAAACGATGAGAAAATTTTAAAAACGAATCCAATAAAAAACTAGTTTTAACTTGGGCACTCAATCCTGCTCGCTGGAGTCACCATGCGCCACAACCCGTGTGCTCTCGATTCATCATGCGCCGAGCCGAAGTGCCACCCACCGCCTCATGCGTAGCCACCGAAACCAACATAGCCTTAGAACTAGACATAAACTCCTGCGTATCGGCTGGAGATCACCACAGAATCACTCGTGCATCCAAATTCGGCACAAATCCCATGGAATCAGGCCGAGAATGCACCACAGATCGCGAAGTCGCACTTGGGCGCCGCACGAGTCTTTTTCTGGCTTTCTGTTTTCTACGCAGACGAACCGATCTCTCAGATCCAACATCTAATTTCGCATATCGGACAATTCTTTCCACTGCACGTCGGTCTTCTTTTCTGATTTATTTTCTCTCTCTACATGTGTCTCTCTTTCTCCTCACACACGGGATCTCTCATCTCTATGGCTCGCTCTCTCTCTACTTTTATAGTCAAAGAGAGGAGAGCCCTATATGGGCCTTTCTCCTCTTTCTTCGGTGGAGGGAAGAGGTGTACACGTCTCTTTTTCTTCTTTTTCTTCTTCTTCGACGGCCAGAGGTGTATATGCCTATGATTGCCCTAATTTTTTTTTGTCACCAAAACGGCATCGTTTTTAAGGTTTCCCAAAACGATGTCATTTTGGCTTTTCTTGCTTTTAAGAAGGAGGTGGATTAGGCTTGTTTCTCTTAGATCGGGTTGTTACAATCTCTCCCCTTTCAAAATAAATTTGGTCCTCTAAATTTTCCGTGACCAGGTGGTTTGAAGACATCCTTACCCATTTCTAAGTTTC